TTTTTTTTTTTTTTTTTATGAGATGGAGTCTCACTTTTGTCACTCTCAGCAGAGTGCTGTGACCTCATAACTCACAGCACCCTCAAACTCTTGGTTTAGAGGAAGCCTCTTGCCTCGGCCTCCCCCGGTAGCTGGAACTACAGGAAGGCACCACCATGCCTAGCTAGCTTTTCTATTTTTAGTAGAGACCAGGTCTCACTCTTGGGCAGGGTGGTCTGGAACTCCTGAGCTCAGGCATCCACCTGCTTCTGCCTCCCAGAGTGCTAGGATTACAGAGGTAAGTCACTGCACCCTGCCCTCTAATGAATATCTTTCAAAGTGATACATAAATATATTTCCCAACTAGACATGTCATAGAATGTTAGAATCAAGAAAGGCAATTGGAGATCATGTTATGTAAATTTTATTTCTTTGTTGTCAACATCATCATCATCATCACACTGAATCTAAAGGACTATCAAGGGACTACTTCTAGGGAGCAAAGCAATCCAGGGATGGATGCGCAGGTCTAAACACTACATCGGGTTCTGATGGTCTATAAATATACTGAGCCAGAATTAATTGGACAGAGAGAAATACTAATACATATATAGATGTTATGATCCACATAAAAAGATGCTTTGTGTAAATATATCTTTGGTCTTAAAAACACTGGTGAAATAAATCCTAGCTCTGCTCTATGGCAGGGATACTGTTGAACTGCTCAAGTTTGTGTTTTATGATTAGTTTTATTCAGGGTGCATATTTCATATTGACATCGTTGCTGTTATATTTTTGTTGCAAAATGATATTGATACTAAATTATATTTTATATTGCTCTAAGTTTATTATTATTACATTGTAAAATATAATGTTATCATTGTGATAGATATGTGTATATTATGTCATGTTCATTATTACTATTATTTTCTCAAAATAATTTTAGATAAACTAGGCATTTCAAAGTACGATAAATGTTTTTGTGCTTTTTAGTGCCTGTTTTGAATACAAAATATCAATTTGTAGCAAATAGTAGAGTAATTGAAGTAAATGGTTTCATCCTTCCTTTAATTTCCTCCTCTGTTAGTATTATGATGCTCTTTTCTAGATACCATCTTGATCTTTAATTATTGTTTTATAATTGTCCCTGCGGGGAAACATCTGCTATTGCCTACTCATTCTTTTTTCCCCTGTTGCCTCAGATTCCCTGTGGACTGTATTACATCTTGTTGACATTGCATTTTCTATTTGCCTTTGATGATTTTCTACCCCAAAGGCTCTAAGAAGATCAGAATTTTTAGCTGCCTCATTTCCTGCGGCACCTCCGACGTTTTCCTCCTGTTTTACTATCATCTTACTAGATTCATGAAATAAGTTTGGTGAATGAGAGCTATCAAATTGTTTTACATGAACAGTGTTGCTCTCTTAATAATTTTAAAACCTAAATTCCTAAATCTAGTTGTCCTTTTGCAGTATTCCTATTTTTCCATGCCTTTCATCACCTAAATTGTTTTATTTTGCTTCTATCATTAAAATATCGTTTCTGAGTATAATCATAAGTGTGATTGTTATACATTTATATAAACATTCAATGATTCATTGTCAAAACCAGTTTCCTAGCACACAAACATATGTGAAAGAGTCTTTAAGGACTCTAATATTAATTTACTAACATTCAGTTATAAATTTTATGATTAGTTTATTCATGACATGTATTTTATATTGACATAGCCACTTTTAGATTTTATGTTATAAACATATTTATACTAGATTATATTTTATAATATTGTTACTGTGTAAGATATGATGATACTATACATATATGAGTGTAGTATGTCATGTTATCATTACTGTTTGGAAAACGAGGAATTTAAAAGCATGATGACATACCATGGATATATATGTATTTATGTCTGTATTTCTATTTTTACATATTGTATTTAGATGTGAAATATAAGTTATTATTGAAGTTTAGAATATAAAAATTGAGCAACTGAAATTATTTATGTTAATAATTACACTATATACAATTTTTAGCCTAAATGTATATAAGGCAAATTTTTTTCCTCTCTGTTCTGTCCTACTAAAAGACCTTTTAGTCACATTATCTTTCCAACTTTAGTTAGGTAGTATAAATTGTATTTTTAAAAGGACACAATAACTAATGTAAGATAAAAACTAAAATGGGAACAGTTTTATAACATTAAAAATATATATTTTAATAATAAGGACAGTTTTAGATGTGAATGTGGGAATGAGAACTCACACTAAAAATCTGAATAGCTAAAATGCTAAACATTATCTGGATGAAAATAATATACTTTTAAAGCTGAATGTTGTGAAAACTTTATGAAATATGAATATATAAATTGATTTCTATCCTTGTGATTTTATTTAGTTATCTCCCTTTTTAGGTAAATCCTACTTGTGTGTAATTTCTAATTGTTGTTAACTCTTCATCAATAGTATCATTTGTGATTTTACGAAATCTACAAGGATATTTTTAGGAATACAATGTGTTCTTATGCCTGTTCAAACTAAGTATTATTTAATATGCAAAGAAGGTCATCAAAATAATCTATCTCAGAATATTTGTATTTCTATTTTATTATGAAAATACTGTAATTAAAAATGTTCCATTTATATTAGAGGGGATTAAGCTGGATATAAGCTGAGGAAAATACTTCAAAGGAGGATAAACACATTTTATTTTCTGAAGATAGTTCAGCATTTCCACAACCTTAATAAACCTACTAGTAATTCAGAACACAATCTCAGAAACTCTCCTAATTCATCCTTAAATCTTAATAAAAAATATACAAGTTGGACTAATTTATGGAATCCTTGTCTAGTTGAATAAGTTCCCTAAGGAAATTACAAATAGGTAATATTTACACAGTTAACAATTTCCTGCAATGATCTTGTAAAATCAGAAACATTTTTCTTCATTAACTACTGAAGGCTCCTTGTATAAAAATTGTTAGTGTACCTATTCTTTAATTTAAATTGTCTATTTAAGATGCTACTTTATTCTACATTGATGCAAAGAGTGATTATTTTACTTTGGCTATTTACGTCAAATTACAATAATTCAATGCCTGAATTGCACATTTGGTATTATATATTTCCCTTTTAAGTTTACAAATTATATACTCATTCTCTTTTACTAATTCAGTTTCTTTAATTTTTTTCTCACAGTAAGAAATAGTTCTCCTCAACATTTGCTACTGAGAAATATGTGGAGATCAAGCACAGCCTCCCTTATTAAACTGTCTACCTTGTACCGATCAATAGTTAAAGACTCAAAGCTCAACTATTAATGATCTAGCAATGATTAAAGCATACTTACTTCAAATTGTGGGAGTTGGTATTTATAAATGTATATAGAGAGTTGGTATTTATAAATGTATATAGATGCATGCAATATTATTGCCTTGATTTTATGAAATTACTAAATTGACTAATTTTTCTCATTTTTTGTGTGTGAAAACTCAAGTCAACGTACCGGCAATTTCAACATATTGATTAATAAAAGCTTGAAATTGTATCATTGCAAAGAGCTAGAAATCAGAAGAATGGCAATCAAGTTTAGGCTTTTGATATACCGTTATTTTCTATTATAGATTAGA